ATGAAGATAAAGAAAAGGGAAAGAGAAGAAAAGACCGTGCAAAATTAGTTGAGGCAAGTGCTGAGGTCCAAGATGGGTGATCTCCCACATCAGGCCTCAATCTTTGTCTCCAGAGCCCCCCCACGACAACAATTAGCATAGGATACAGGGGTCCCATAGGACAGTGTAATCCTACACCAGTATTGCAAAGATTAGCTTCTTAGATATGACCTGCCCATGAAGTTTATATAATTGGAGTGTTTTGCCCTTTGCAACCATATCAACCCCCTCCCCATCAATGTCAGAAATGTCTTCTTTTTTGGCCACCCTGCTAAACACTGTCACTTCACAGCCCACAGCGATCTATGTACCCAATCTGGCCATGACTGTTCAAATTGCTGTGCTCAGTCAGGCAAATGTGTCGTTTGTTGTGGCTACGATAATGTATTTTATAGGAGCTTCCCTGCCAGCAAGCTTGAATCTTAAAAGTTCTCTGATGCCTACTCCTCCTTCCTCTCACTTTACCTCTCACACCAGGCAGTCTAAACGTTCCACCCCATCTCATACCACATCCTCTCTTGCACCCACCTCTTCCTCTGGTCTTTGGACATTTGTCACCTCTTCTCCTCATAAGAAAACCTTTGTTTCTCAGACCTCCCTGAATACTGTGCCATGGGCACAGTATTCCCTTGGTTAATTGCCTAGCCCTTACCCCTTATGGGGACCCTGAGGGGTAGACCATTTCTTTTCCCTAGTTTATTCAGGCTCACCATGGCCAGTAATGAAGATTTTTTACCCTTAATAGGGGCATTAAGGCTTGCCCCTTCATCAAATACCCTATCTGAATTTGATTTTGATGGTTTTCAGACCCCCCCCTTGACCATGGCTCTGACCACTGATATTAATACCCCCTCTTTGACATTTACAAAAATTCTAACCATTCCCAAACACCCACCCAGGTTAATACTCACCTCTAGAAAACTCCTCTTTCTCATCCTTTACATTCTCCTCTTCATCTCTTGCTGTCAAAATGGTCTTCCCTTATTACTACTCTTCATCCTTATTGTCCCCCCCCCCCATGGAACTACACTCCACACCACACCATCTTCCTCTCACCCTCGTCCTTCTACTGCCTCTGCCTTTTCAAACTTTCTGAGTACTCTCTTTAGCCCAGCCAAGTGGTATCAATTCTTTGTGATTCCCCCCACAGCCCCCTGTTTTGAGAATATCCTTCTCTTTCAGCAGTGCCTCCAGAAACAAATGGGCAAGGTTACCTTTTGCAGTCACTCTGATCATTCACACCTTGTCACGGTTACATCTGAAGCCCATGCACTATCTACCCTAACTGACCTTATTGGTAAACCCATTCCAGCCGAACCTCACCCATCTCTTAATACTTGTACCTGAACTGTTTCTATTCCCCCAAATGCTTGTCCCATATATAACAAAGGCTGTGAAAATGGCCTACTTTCCTGCCTTACTGAATATGATGCAGAGGTAGTACAGTGTTTCACTCTTCCTCCCAGAGGCCAGCGTAAATCCTACGTCAATATTGCCAAGATTAGCTTCTATAGGCAAGACCTCCCCCACGAGGCTTATATAGGTTGATTATCTTATCATGTCCCAAAATATCAACCCCTTTCTCGTCAAGGTCAGAAATGTTGGCATTTTGGCCACCCAGCGAAACATTGTCGCTCCACAGCCCACAGCATCCTATGTGCCCAACCTGGTCATGACCATTCAAATTGCCCTGCTTAGTCATGTACATGTGCCAATTGTGGAGACTCCCATAATGTATTTTATAGGAGCTGCCCTGCCTATAAGTTTGAATTTGAGGTAGCAGACCTCTGATTTAAACTAGGCCTCATGTGAGGCCAGACAGGAAGCACGAAGACAAGGTTTTTCTCTCTCAACTTATTCCAAAACAGTTCTTCCCTCTGCTCCCCCACCATCTTCACAATATGTTTCTGCATCTCCCCAGGTATCTCTCCCCTATACCCTAAACCTACGTCCTATGTCCACTCATCCTATCCACCAGTCAAATCTATTTTCCATTCTAAGTCCAGATACTCCAATCTCTACCAATTCCCCGATACCTACCCTTCCTCCTCACTTTATTTGTCGTACCAGGCAACCTAAATGTTCCACTCCACACACTCCTACTACATTCTCTCCTACATCTTCCTCTTCTCCTGTTTCTCAGATATGTATCTCCTCTTCTCCTCCTCATAAGAGAACCTTTGTTTCTCAGTCCTCTTTACCCAACTCCACTCCAGAAACTCTTGAAGACATCCATAACTTCCTAAAGATGACCCAAGGGAACACTCCACTCCCTCACCCACCTACCAATCCCTCTGTTTCTACTCCTACATTTGCAGATATCCATCATCATCATCATCCTCAAAGTCCCTCCACCCTCCTTCCTCCTACACCCTCCCAGCATACCCCACCCTCTCTACCGCTTCCACTTGAATACTCACAAGAATCCCTTCTATCACAACAGTGTCCTTCTCCAGACCCCTCCCCTCCAGACATTCTTCCTGATACTTCACTGACTTCCCCAGTCCGCCTTTCTCAGTCCCTGATTTCTTCTCCTCCTACTTCTCCAACAGCCACCTCTGTTTTCCTTAAACAATGTCCCTATTCCTTCCCCAGTCATAGATACACTGCAATTCACTCAGTAACTCTACCCCCTTATATTACCCCTACCCCCTCCCAAAATACATCCTCTCAACCACCTAAACTAAAACCTCCCCCAAAACCCCATTCTTTTCCATATACCTCATCCTCTCAACCACCCAAACCACCATTACTACCCAAATCAACCCTTCCCCGAAAATTCCACTATCCCTCCCATTCCCTTCAGGATACACACATGAATCTCTTTTATCACAATACCCTTCCCCAGACTCCACCTTCTCTATCAAACCCCAGGACACTACTACTTCACCTATTCCTGATCCTTTATCTCAACCCTCAGATACCTAATCCCCTACTACTAAGACAACCATACTTGCCGTTATCACCTATTATCCCTATTCCTTCCCCAGTCACAGATACAATGCAATTCACTTAATTTCTCTATCTCCTTAACCTTTCTAATTAACTAAGCACTGCTCTACTTCATTTACTTCCCTCCTTTCCCTTTTTGTTACCATACTTTCCTATAAAACCCTCTAATCTTTGACAATTAACACCTTCCCTTCTCCCAGGATTATTATTCTACTTTTCAACAGCTATCTCTATAATTCCTTGAACATTTTTCTTGTACCTTCTCCAGTGACAGAGACACTATAATTCACTCAATCGCCCTACCTCCTCCTTATACTAATTTCTGCTCTAGTTCACTTACTCCCCTATTTCCCGTTTCACTACCATACTATCCTATAACACTCTTTAAACCTTTGACATCAAAGACTTTTTATCATAATCTTTAACTCTCCTTTGCCCTTTCTGACGCAATATTTTACCATAGTGCTATATGTCTAGCACAATTATTTTCAAACATTAAACATTAAACATTCTCTGGATTTTTCTCCCATTTCTTCAACACCCATTTCTACCCTTATTACACATTCATTGTTTCATGATTGCTCTTTTGTAGTTTTCCTCTTAGTTCAGAAGGATAGATACTCAACATTTGATCTAATCTCCCTATGCCTTTAACCCCCTTCCCATTTTACTTATCACTACTGTGCTCTCCTCTCTTTACCCTTTTCACTACCATACTATTCTTTAGCACTACAGTCTTTGACATCTAACATATTTCATCCTAATAGTTAACTAATTTTTACCCTTTAGCCACAATACTTTCCTGTTGTATTTTATGATCTTTGATGTCTAGGATATTTATTTGTTTTAACCTTTAACCATTAGTTTGTTTCTTCTTAGTCTTCTCTACAATATTGTCCCCTTGATTTTTTTTAAGTTTGCCTATTTAAGGCTTAATATTAATAAATTTTCAAAAGCAATACAAGTAAGAATATGTATTTTTTAATTATCCACTTCAATTTTTGACTAATGCTCATGCTTTTGATACAGCATGCACAGTTATCAGTTAACTTTTTCAGAGCTTAGCCAACCAGACTTCTCACTGAAATGTGTAGAAAAATGTACAGATGACCTTCACAATGCAATTGATGCAAATAACTTAGGTTTTCATTAGAATTATTGGTAAATATTTGATTGAAATAAGTCAGTTGTATTGCTTGTAATGCAAAGGTGCTCACTGTTTTTATTTTTTCTGTAGAGCTTAGCTGTTGAGTGGGCACAGAATGGTGTGCGTATAAATTCTGTAGCTCCAGGAAGCTCCATCTACTCACCCACAGCAGCAAGGAACTACAATGAAGATAATATTTTTGAAAGGGCCCGTGCTGGTATTCCTACAAAGCGTCTTGGCACAACACAAGAAGTAAGTACCTCAGTATTGACATTTGTTGGATTTTAGTTTGCTTTATTTGTTGTTATTATTATTGCGCATTATGTTTTCCAAGACATGACTTATATTTTTTTCTTTGTGTTCAGATTGCAAGTGCTGTGTGCTTCCTGCTGTCACCAGGTGCTGCTTTCATATCAGGTGAAACTTTGAAGGTGGATGGAGGGGGCAGTCTTTATTCACCCCTCATGTGGCAAATTTCAGGTAGCACAGATTCTAAAGTTTAAATTGTATTGATGTTTTGTTTGCACTTAAAAGTAATAATTATATTTGTTATTATGATTATTATTACTAACTCTATTTGCATTTTAGTAGTAGTAGTATCAGTAGTGTAGTATCGCAGTTATTATGATTATTATTACTAACTCTATTTGCATTTTAGTAGTAGTAGTATCTGTTATTGTTTTTGCAGTAGTAGTAGTAGTAGTATCTGTTATTGTTTTTGCAGTAGTAGTAGTAGTAGTCATAGTAATAGTAATAGTCATAGTAGTAGTAGCAGTAGTCATAGTAGGCTAGTAGTAGCAGTAGTCATAGTAATAGTAGTAGTAGTAGTAAGCAGTAGCAGTAGTAGTAGTAAGTAGTAGCAGTAGTAGTAATAGTAGCAGTAGTAGTAGTAGTAGTAAGTAGTAGCAGTAGTAATAATAGTAGCAGTAGTAGTAGCAGTAGCAGTAGCAGTAGCAGTAGCAGTAGTAGTAGTAGTAAGTAGTAGTAGTAGCAGTAGTAGTAGTAGTAGTTAGAAGTAGTAGTAAGTATAAGTAAGTAATAGTAGTAAGTAGTAGCAGTAGTAAGTGGTGGTGGTGTAGCAATAGTAAAAAACAGTAGGATTGGTTTGTAAAAATACTGTAATAATTATACTTATAAAATAATTAAGAATAAAATGTTCATAACCCACAGAAACAAGCACAAGGTAAAAAATATATCAGTCTGCTGTCTTTTATGATAGGTTTATTTTGTAAGTACTGTTCAGTGTTTTTTTGCACCCTTGGAGTCAGTTCATATAAAAAGTGACCTTAATTTAATCTGAGAATATAGAATATTGAGTAATTTCATTCTGGAATGCAAAAATCACCCAAGATTATATTTTAGTAAATGATCAGCATAGCAACTTGTCACTATTAGGAAGGTTGTTTGCATTCTTTTTTTCCCATATCCTGATCATCATCCTCATTGTAATGCAGATATTTGCATATTCTCAGTGGTGTGTGCAAATTGCACATTTTCTTTTGTTGAATGTAGAAACTTCCATATATGAGATATAATTGCTGTCCAGAATAATACTCACTTTTATGTCATACAGATTCAGGTTCTTCATATTACTTGTAATCATGTCTTTTAAATCTAAGATGATTCTTTTTCCATAAGTTAGTCAATTTATGGAGAGATTATAATGGTCTTTATTATCAGATCTGTAAATCAGATTACAAAATGACTGGGATCTAAGAAACAGATAAGTAGTAAAGAGTAAAAAGTGTTTTACGACACTTCAGTGTGCAAATATTGGAGATCTCACAAAATATCATAACACAAGGTTCTTCAAATGCAATTCTTTTTAGCACTAAAATTATTTTTAAATCACTTTGGATATTCTTTAACCTTTGCAGAGCACAAGAACTTACCAGCTTATCAGTGGACTTACAAATCTCCTGACGAAGAACAAGAAAATGATTCTCCTACCAAAGCCAAGCTGTAGAAATGATGATTTTGAAGCAACAGCTATACATGTTCCTCTGGAAAACCATGTACAGATCTTCAGTGTCTTCTTTTGGAAAAAATTAATATTTTCTTTTTTTTTGAGAAATATCAACTAATAGTATTGTTTCAGATAATTTACTTACAGTACATACGGACTAAGAATATTTTCAGAATAAATATATGCAATTACTTGTGGTGCTAGTTTTATTTCATGCCACAAAACTGGGTAATAAGAATACTGTAATAGAATGACTACACCTTGCCTTTTAGATTTCAGGCTGAACAATTGGTTAATTTTATCTAATCTTAATGAAGTATCACCATGAATTTTGTTATGAAGGAAATTAATGGATTTCATAACATTAAAGGTAACCTTTCAATCTGAGCACCTGATAGACATTGTGATCTATAGGGCAAACATTTGATAAAATGTAGAAAATTATAGGACATTTTTCAAAAGGAAAATATAAAATCTAAGGTACCTCCATTCCAAGCATTTGGTTGAATTTTGGTGAGCACCATATTTTTACTTATCGTCTTTTGAAAGTTTCTCTTACATCTCTCCCTAAGTAAGCTAAAGTGCAGAAAATCTTTTCTGAAGTGTTCACAAAAGTGTATGACGTAGTTTTCATATAATACGGTGATTTCCATGCAAGGTTCACAATGTTTTGTTAACGGGTTTCCAGGAAAACCTTAATAACTCAAGTTTATTTAATTTTTGCACAAGCAAATTCTTAGGTGGACCTAGGACCTATATTGATCTAGTAGGTGGTCAAAGTAACCAGAGAATCCTTGGGAAATTGTGCAGCAAGCAATGCCTTGGGGTGGAGACTGACGAGACAAGAGCCACCCATCTGAATGAACAGCATTTAATTCAGTCCACCACCAAAGTCTGTGGACACCATGGTATAGTTGTTCACACGGCAGTGTTCAATGAAAGTCTGGCAGGCCTGTCACCACCAACACCCACATCCCCATCTCTCTCTTTCTCTTACAATAGGTTTACCAATATCTAATAAAATATCTCTTTTCCAAATATTATTTTTTTTCCTTAAAAGCAAAAATCATCAATTACTTGGCAGACAATATAATTTGGATGTTGAATATTGTGTATGCAGTCCCTCCATTGGACACAGATTGTCTGGAATTTTCACTCAAGCTCCTGCACCAACACTTTCTTGGTTTACTGGTAGATTTAAGCAGCAGGTCTATCAATGAACAAAATTCTCACTTGTCAGACAGTTCACATGGACATGGATATATTGATCAATTTTCATCTTGTACCGTCTTCTTACCATCAGTATAGTACCAATGAAAGTAATACCTGAGTATTTCTACAGGAATGTACTGGAAGTCATGCTTGAATATAACTTGGCCAATTAAGGGTGGTCAGAGAACTACTCACTCTCTTGCCCAGTGAAGACCACATGTCTTTACCTCCACCTTGCACCTAGGGGTTGGCTTTGCTCAATCAACACTTCCCAAAGGCATGGTAGTTCCCTACTTCTGCTCAAATGTTTCCCCCTCATCAATCATCATATCATTTCAGGTAATTAAACCTCCCCTGAGGATAGTGTAGCACATGCATACATATATTCATGTGTAGAACTACCAATTTGCTTTCTTTCAATGTCACCACTTCAGCTTTGCAGCACTCTGGTGTAAATACTGCCAGTAGACACAGTATAACGTTAACTTTCCCAAAGAAAGATTCATCCTTGCGACAAAAATCATATTTTGAAATGAGTGAAGTGCCCTCATGAAATAGTATTTTCCTTAACTTTCATTACTGATTGATAGTAGTCTATGAAGATAATAGTTTAGCCACAATGCAATGCCAATTTTTACATTAAATGAGGTATATTGCTTGTTATATAGGTTACACAACTAAAATACTTATTTTTTTATTTTGTTTTATTCCTTGCTAAATAAAGTGAAATAAAAAATAAATATATATAAACACCTTGTTTTCTCCGTTCAGAAATTAAATACCTTGTTCCCATAATGTACTGTTTTAGACTGTATGATTTAATCCCACAACTAAACACCAGCTTGTCTTCTGAGAGGTTTAATATGATTTATTCATAACATAAGATTAGACCCATATGTATTAAGTGGTATTAACTTGGTTGTTTTCTGATGAAAACAAATGACTATTACCAAGAAAACAGAACAGAAAGGACCAGATTTTCAATTTTGTTATCAAATTCAATTAATGTTACCATAGGTACTTGTATAAAGGTCGTTGGTCTTGACAAATATGACCCCTTTCATAGTGTATACAAACTTTTTCTTTCAAAATTCAACATTCCATGAGCATTCATAGCATTTGAAAAAGTCCAGTAGCACCAATGCTAATGTAAATACCAATTACCTATTTAGATCTTATTAAATGCTGCTATGTCAACAGACTGCACAAATTCTTCAAATTCACATATCTTCTCCACTAAGTCATCTACAGAGACCTTTTCATCTTCTACAGTACACAAGATTGATAATTTGTTAATTCCAAAGGCAAGAGGGGACAACTTACTGGCACCCCATGAAAGACCATCCATCTTGATAGATCGAATCAGATCTTCCATTGCCTTCATATCTGTTTCATCATCCCATGGCTTAACATCAAGCATCACTGATGATTTTGCTATTGGTCCAGGTTTCTTAGACTTTTTCTCAGCATATGCTTTTAGTCTCTCTTCACGTACTCTTGCAGCATCCTGGTCTTCCTCATTATCAGAACCGAATAAGTCAAATTCATCATCATTAACTACTGCCTCTTCTTTCTGCTCTTCAATCTTCCCTGGTGCTGAACACCTATTTTTCCCTGTTGTTGCTGCTGATGCATTCTCCCCAAACATCATGCATGAATTTTTGTGTTCATTCATTTTGTTTTCCAGTAAAACATGAGCATCTGTGGGGTCTTCTCCCAGAGTTAACTTCAACTCCACTCCTAAAGACTGAATGTGATTATACCATCGAAGCACATGGTTGTATTTCTCATCTGGGGCTTTACCCAAGGAAGAGAATACATCAACATCTATCTTGGAAGGGGCAAAGCCGGAGATGTAACTACGTTCTTCAAGGTAGTCATTCAAGCTCTGCAGTCCATGTGCAGTGTTCACATCACCAAAAATCTCCACTAACCTGCAAAATTGTCATGCTTAAGTTACCTACATATGAAGAACAACCAATATTCAGAGTATCTGCATATTCAGCTCACATCACCATCACCTGATCTCTGAAGTGATATCCTTGCTTAACCTGGAAAGCAAATTATTTTATATGAAGGTAAATCTGATCTACCCAATAACATTTTCATTATATGAAAAGAAAGCAGATTCAGCACCTAAAACTGTCAGTATTATCATCAGATAGAGGTCATTAGTACATTATGAAGAAGAGAGTTTGTATCACTTTATTGCTTTTAATTTACCACACAAATAATTTATCAATATGTCACATTGTAACCCAGCTTTTCCAAATGTGATTGAAGGAAATAGTCAGCTACAGTCTTGTCAAGAATGACTGCAAAATAGAATATCCAAAAGCTTACATCCATATGCTACAACATTGATCAATCATCAAATACAAGTTGCTATCAAAGATTTCCATATGGCTACAGATAAAAACAATAGTAGTTAATTATCTCAAGTTCAATATTATATTTATAAAAAATACATCTAAAATTAACCTAATTTACTTGCATTAACAATAACTCACCAAGTTATTAATTTAAAATATTTCTATGAAAAAAACTTTTAAAATATAATTTATATACCACAATCTTTTACCTAAAATCAATTTGTGAACTTTCCAGAAGTGATCATTACATGAATGTGCAAGAGTAAACACTTAAAATGTATGAAAACACATCAGATACAAGAAACAAAACAGAACCTCAATTATGTATAGTTGAGAGGCATGTTGTACCCATATGGTAAGTTTCATGATAATCAAACAAAGTGTGAAAGTTACAAGAAAACTTGTATTGCTAGCTAGAGAACCATTAGCACCATTAGATTACCAGATTCCTATTGCAGATATACATTAAGCATTAGATGAATCTTGTTTCTAAAAAAAAAAAAGTAAATATCCTATCATAACTTTCAATTTTAAATCTCACTTAACTGATAATTGTTCACAAAATTTCACTGTTCCAATAAAAACTGAGCTAAGCACTGTTAGGAACTAATTTGTACACTTACAATATTGATATTACTTTCTTCTCAGAAGAAGAGATTTACATTTACATACTTCTTAAATCCTGAAATGAACTGACTTGAACAACTATTGGCAATGCAAATTGGCCAAAAGATTTTTTATCAGTACAGACAAATACTAACAAAAATACTTGTTTATACACACAAAAATAGAAAAACAATTATTTTATATTTGTGCATTCCATATTTCTGAATCATCTGCCATCCATTGCACACACAAACAATAATTGGGAAGCTGAAAACCAATCCCTCAATACGCAGAATACATAATCACAATTTCATGTTCACACAGTAATTCAATACAGATCTCACTAGAATAATATATGAACTAAGATTCCTCCATACAAATAAGATAAGAGTTAAAGAATATGTATAATTTAACATTACATGTCACTGTGCATATATTTCGGAAAGTTGTACCTGTCTTTTTAGTCAGACCATATTGCAGTCACGTAATGGAGATACATTCATTATAAAATTCTGAATAGTTACTGTGTTACAAGAATCAATTTCAGATTTATTACATTAATGATTTCCTGATGAATGTATTGTATACCTTGTGGACTTTCGTAAAAGTATCTATGAGTAACCTCTATTACTGAGAAGACATATATTAGATAATTACGTAGTGTCTACATTACCAAATAGCTATAAAGCTAATCTGTACTCAAAAGTAACCAATAAGGCAAAAATCTTTCAAGGTAAATTAAAATCTTAGTTTCCTATACATGAAAATTGTTAACTTCAAGAATAATATATTTAGAATCAACTGCAACCCTCAAAAAAATACATTTAGAATCAGAACCTTCTACTGTTCAAACCAGTTTGACCTTATCCACAAGACAGGCAGTGTCTCTGCAAGCAAAAGTTACCAAAATCGCAACATAAAGCAGACACAAGCACATATGACATAAGCAGAGAAACTATGGCAATTCACCAAAATGGCTCAATTCAAGCACAGTGCACCCTTCCCTATCTTCATATTTTCCATTAAAAAAGGTGTTTGTGTATACGTGTATGTATGTGTATGTGTATGTATGTGTATATGTATATATGCATGTGTATATGTATATATGTATGTGCATATGTATATATGTATGTGCATATGTATATATGTATATGTGTATATATGTATACGTGTATATGTATATAAATATATGTATGTATGTATATATACACATACACATACACATGCACACATACAATATATATAATATATATATATAAACCCTCCATCAATGGAGATGTAAATAAAATTCAGTCTAGAACAAATTAAGATTTGGAATGGACAATTCACTTGATTAATGGGCATTTTTTGCCTATGAACTTTGTTCAAGTTGTAAGCAAAAGAGCCTAAACTGCCTATACAATATATTTACCTTGCCATTACTTTTTCCCCTAAAACCCAAAATTATTTTCCTTAAATTACTGGGAGCTTTCCCATAGAGCACAAATTTCAAAAATCTGGTAGCCCTTGTCCCAACCTCAATTGATGTCTACCTGTAAATACAAAACGAATGTGCCCCTTCTATCAGGTATATCTAATTAACCAATTCACTATTCAGTCTGGTAAAACTTGCCAGACAAAAGCCTGTGTTTCTTCCATCCATTGATGTCATAAGTGCTAATTTCAGCAACCCATTAGGAATCTAGTCAGTTTTGCCTATACCAGCTCCCATGCATACACTGTTTTGGTTCCACAAAAAGGAATAAGTACAGGAATTTTGATGGTCTGCCTATTTTTCCTCTTTATGCCATGACTAGTTAAGCAGGCATGGTCAGTGGGTATGGCCTACGAGTGACATCTGAGGCAGGATATCTACTGGGTGAAGCAACAAACCTGCAAGTGAAATTGGTTCATCAGCTTGTAATTTGCATACCCATTGTCAATTCTCAGGCAAGCCCACCTAATCTGCCCACCTCTCTGGAGAGATTTTAAGGTCTGTCCACACAAGTGGCTATTAATAGTGGGCACAATGGTAGGAACCTGTAAAGGTGAAATCACAGGCAAGAAAACAAGGGTAAACCACTTGTTTGTAGTAGTTTGGTTATTTGTTACCAGGAGTGACGCACCCTACAGGGATAAAGTCCCAAAACCAAGGTATCACGAAAACCTAAAACCCCAGATGTATCCTTTCCTACATTTATCCCCTAGACATGGACAAGTCACCCACCCTATACCACCCCTTTATTAGCACTTTGTGCCAACTTGTATATATCTACTGAAAATTCTGCCATGTCAACATCTAAGGTCATTAGCAGCATATTCAAAATACAGCAATGTGAGGCTTGGGGAAGAACCCCCAGGTAAGGAAAGCTCATACAGCACTATCATAAAATAGATGTCAAAGGTAGTGTTGTAGATTAGTACAGTATTGAATAGGGTAGTGATGGAAGAGTAACCTAATATGAAGGCCGTTCAAGACATGACCAAAGCAGCCTTTCATCCTTTTAGCATGGCTCACTTACAGTGTGGACAAAATGGGAAGGAAAGACCAGGCAAAATTAATTAAGGCCACAGCTGGAATTCAATGGGATTTTCTGATAAATGGAAGCAAGACCACTAACGGATGGTGATGTCAACAAGTTTTTTCCGAAGGCCATATTTTTGTTATTTTGTATGACTACAGATTGATGCAAAAGAAAAGGTTTTAAAACAATAAATTTTCCCATGTTCAAATAAATTAAAGAAAATTGCTTGAAACCATCCTGGTATGAACCGATATTGTGTGCCAGACAAAACGTCACCATGGCAGAAATTTCATCAGATGTCACTTCAGCCCTACAACATGCTGAATAATTTATAATTTTTAGATAAATCAAATTTATGGACATTTTCTAAAGTTATACATCTAATACATTATATATAGAGAGATGCAGGTGCATTTTAAGTTGTTGGATGTTACATTATTGGCTTGGTTATCCATTTGTTTTATGCAGTACAATAAAAATAATGCAGGAAATTGTATCACCAACACTGATCCTACATACTAACTGTACTCTAATATTCATCCATTTATGATAGTAAATGGTATAATATTTAGACAACAGCAGAAATGCTGCTACAGAAAAGCGGTCAGCCCTGGTTGAGCAAGGGCTGAGGTCCTAGGTAGGGATGATCACCTACCTTGGTTTTAAGTCTCCATCTATTAAGCCCCTCTACAAAGGATTGGGGAGGGGGTCTGCCAACTTAAAGAAACCAGACTTTCAAGAACAGCCTGTGGTAGGGTGTTATGGTCTTGATATGAACAATGTTGTACAGCAGATATTTACGTCATTTCACTATAAATACAAGGCCACAGCAGCTGCACCTGCGTTATGACATGCTTGTGCTCTAAAAGATGGCGTCCATTTCCTCCTGTCTATGCGTCGCTCTCATTAACATTAACCTCATTCTGCTCACCATGATGTCATCTCTGCTTGCATCTACCCATGTCTGCTAATCATCCCTGTTCGAGTAGACAGGCCTTTTAGACTAATTTATTTGGCTGCACAGAAGGCATCCCTCAAGTGGATGTGGCCAAAAAGCAATATAGTCTAAGGCTATTAAATTTGATGCATAATTTGGATCTATGCCAAGCCTAAAAAGTCTTATGGACCAGTCAATTTTATTACAAATAATTGAGATCTAATACATTTGTAATGGTTTTGTAAAACAATCCAGAACAGGACTGCATAACGGGACTGGCTTCCATGCTTACTTCAATATGGCCAAAAATTCACATTCTAGTGAGGCAACTGGACTAATTATTCAACTGATAATTATCACCAAGGTCTAAAACATCCATTTCTGCCAGAAGATAAGTTTACCAACCATTGCTAAGAGCACATAACATTAACACTTTATATTGTAGACCAGCAGTCACAGGCTTGCTTTCCTCCCCAAAATTATTGCACCTGATCAGGTTTCACATTATAAAGACCTTTAACCCCCCAGTCCTATTCTGGATAATTACCAATTAACAATTTCATAAAATGGTTATACAATATACTAAATTAGATGCATGAACATTAAGGCATTTTATTAGATAAAGCAGTAAGGCAATTGAGATTTATCATGCAACATCTTGAAAACATCACTGCAAAGTGAACATCTATGACTTTCCTGGTTTACTAGGTCTCTCCATCTACCACAACCTTCATCCAATTATAGAAATGGGGCTAGCCCCAACCCGAGGAACTCTTATAAGTGCTCCCTAGACTAGGGAAGAGATGTAATAAAAAAAGGGAATATTGCCACAGACAAGATGCAGGGTTAAAATTCAGTAGGAAATATTGCAACCATGCCATCTTGCCTTTTTAAAATTCATACACTTATCTTAAAGTGGCAAGAGAAGCATTTCCACATGCAAAGCTGTGGTAGACATTGGAAACAAGAGGCAAGGTATGACTATTCTAAATGCCGTGTAATAGAACCAAAGTATCGGGATTATGTAATACTACTGGATAATATCTGGGTTACTACAGGGCTAAGTAGGGTCTAATTTTATAACAAATCAAATCATGCCATGCATATTACTGACTTAACACTAGTGCCTTCTGATTAATGGTTTTCCAAGTGAATATATAGTAAAAGTAATTTATTAGGACTTCAGCCCTGCATGCATCAGTTCCCCTGATACATTGTTCTAAGGAGCAAGACTTGGCACTGAAGTATCCTATCTTGCCTTTGAGTCCATCAAATGATCATGCTACATCTTTCCAGCCATCCTATGGGATACGTAAAACAAGGATGAAAACTCAAAATAAAACGGCCAAATAAACGGATGTACATATTTTATTATCAAATAAGCATGAGGAAGGGTGATCCTAAATGTGTGAGTGGGTAAGTGGCACTCCTGACTTTAGAAAATTTGATATCACCGGGAACAGCTAGGTCTTGTGCCACTAATCCACCTACTGTAGCAGCACAATATAGGCCGACTTCCTCAAATTTTCGCACGCCTTACTCGTAGATCCAGCTCTCGTTGGTCTGTGTCCAGGATACAAGCTCCTCAGGCTTGAACCACAGAGCAATCTCCTTGTTGGCAGACTCAACTGAATCAGAGCCATGGATGATGTTCCTAGAAAGGGGGGTTAAGCTTTAGCATTTAGACAATCTGTCTTTTCAGACCTCTTACTTTCAGACATTTAACTGGAATACATGTCGGTAGAATTTACACAACATGCACCGTATTCATGTTGTCAAATGTGGAAAGGTATGAATGACGATGAATATCTTCACAATACAAGAGATGTATTTGACCAGTTATGAATACATATTTGAAACCAATCAAATACATCTCTTGTATTGTGAAGATATTCATCGTCATACATACCTTTCCACATTACACAATATTCCTTAAAAAATAGTATCAAAGTACTCTATTCACCTTCCAACTTCAATGCAGAAATCTCCGCGGATGGTACCGGGCTTGGAGTCTGCAGGGCGGGTCTCTCCCATCATGACACGTGCCGTCTTGACAACGCCAGTGCCTTCCCAGCACATAGCAACCACAGGTCCTGAGGACATGTACTTGCAAAGGCCAGGGTAGAAGGGCTTGTCAGCAAGATCAATGTAGTGCTGCTTCAAGAGATCTTCAGATGCCTGTGAAATACAAGGACTTAATATAAACAATGTTACTGATATAGGAAAGTGGATCTATTTATCTATAGTAGCAATTTACTGTTCATTCTCAAGTACCATGCTTAGTTGTTGTAGTAAGCATGAGTTGCAAAGAGGACCTTTTTAATCTAGGCATTTTAAATAAAAAACCAGATAACCAAACAGTCAGTAACCTGGGCGATAAATGCCTTAACACCAATAACTAATACATACAGATTATATAAATAACTAGATCAAATACCTATCCCTACTGAAGTATCTTCCAGGTCTTTTACTAATTGAAAATTCCAAAATTTAAAAATGAATACTTGTTTCATTACAATTTCCCCGGTTTTAACCACTACCTGCCAGGTGGTATATACATACATGCCATGGCTGTTGACAAAGTGGGTGGCGTCAAACGTGATACTAATAGCTCTGTGGGCTCGGACAGCTTGTTTTTCTCCAATAATAGTGGCATCA